TGCGGGTTTCATTCTGGTTAAGGGCACATACCTTGGTTGCAGGCTCAATCCCCATCCCAGTCAGGGTGCATGTGGGAGGCAAACAATTGGTGTCTCTCTCACATCATTGTTTCTCTCTGTGTGTGTTTCCCTCTCCCTTTCACTCTCTCTAAAAAAGAAAAAAGAAAAAAAAATCAATGGAAAAAATATCTCGGGTGAGGATTAATAATAACAACAAAAGCCATCTCATTAGCCTGGCCTGTGTGGCTCAATGGTTGAGAGTTGACCCATGAACCAGATGATCACAGTTCAGTCCCTGCTCAGGGCATGTGCTTCAGTAGGGGCCATGCAGGAGGCAGCTGATTGATGATTCTCATCATTGATATTTCTATTTCTTCTCCCCCTTTCTCTCTCTGAAATCAATAAAATCATGAAAAGCGATCTCATTATCTGCTGCATCACATGGACATGGCCACCTCCTCTGTCTTATCCAGGAATCAGCTTTAAGAGCACCTCATTTTCTTCTCCACATTTAAGAGTTTATATTTATCCAAACAATTCCAGAAGCTGGGGTCAGAATTGGAGGACACTAAGCTTTGTTTTTATGGAAGTAGCAAAATGAGGCAAGTTTCTCTTGATTCTTTTTCAAATTAATATATATATGTATATATATTTCTTTATTGATTTCAGAGAGGAAGGAAGAGGGAGAGATAGATAGAAACATCAATAATTCGAGAGAATCATTGATTGGCTGCTGCCTGCATACCCCCTACTGGGGATCGAGTCCACAACCCGGGCATGTGCCCTTGGCCAGAATCAAACCTGGGACTCTTCAGTTTGCAGGCCAACTCTATCCACTGAGCAAAACTGGCGAGGGCTCCAAATTTGTTGATCAGTATTTAGGCTGTCTGCTTCCTACTCAGAAGTTCAGAACTATACTTTTCTCCCTCAAGCTTAATCAATAATCTATGACAGAGCCTTGAGACTGGGCCAACACTCCATGGAGGCCATGAGAACAACACTGTTTTGGAATAGAGTTCTTTAGAGCAAAGAGCTCTGTAAAATGTAGAAAATGGGAGAGTAAGAGCTGCCTCAGCTCCAACTCTCTTTGATCCTGCTGAGTTTTGGCTCTGGAAGATGGCATGCCAATTTGTACCAAAAAGCAAATTACCAGCTGGAGATAATCTTTGATGAGAACTTGGCAACCCTATGACACTGCAGATCTTTCTCATATGTCAGCGAATGCAACCCTCCAGGGAATGTGCGCTGAGTGACATATCACATAGCTAAAAATAAAATGGTGGCTAATTCGATACCCACTACTAGATGACAAAAATCATTATTTCCAACATTTTATATGCTGGTATTTGAGTTTCCTGTATTCATTTCCTAAAATGTAAACTTTCCCCCCCAAAATAAACACAAATTTGTCATAAAATAAAATTTCAAGATCTAAAGAAGTCACAATTGCACAAATACAAACAGAAGTCCTTATCTACATTGGGTTAGTATTTAGTTTATGGTCCTTATAATTACATCAGTATTGTAATCATATCTTTCCCTTTTAGTCAAGTTAAACCAGAGGTAGTGTGTACAGTCAGTTCTTCCACTGGAATGAAGCATCTTGAGGGTAGGTGTGTGTTCCAAGTGCCCTTACGCCTTCCATGCAGCAGACGCTTCCGACTGCCCTCCAACACTCACGGCGCTACACTAAGGTGACCAGACGTCTTTTGGCGGGACAGTCCCGATTTTCAACAAATTGCCCCGCGTCCCGTTTTAAAAAAGTCTTGATTTTGGAAAGAATGCACGACAAGCTAGGGAACGGCAGGAAAATGGGAAGGGAATATAGGGCTTTCGGCGGCCAAGTGGCTATTTAGCCAGGATATGAGTTTTATATTACTTTTGTTCATTTTATAATGTTAAACTTTAATAATAACAAGTAACTGTTGAGAACTGATTATTGAGAACTGCTTATCAAAGTTCGCATTGTTGATCAGTTGTTAGAATTTGACCACCATTGTTTGGACTTAATGAACAATGGCATTTTTGGGGATTGGCAACGACGAAAACATTTTGTAACTCTTTCAGACGATACACATTTTGTAATTGTCTCTCAGACGATACACATCATACTGCGTGCTAGTAAGCTAGTTAAACAAGTGATGTCATTACAAATCAGCTATTCAGATAATTTAGGTTAAGTAATTTATGTATTTATTTCATAAATACATAAGTTTTCTTGAATTTAGCAGACAGTACTCGTATTATTTATATTTTATAGTGGCTGCAAAAAATCTAGCACTGGACTTGAAAGTGACACTTACGACTATACATACTTTTTAAAAAAATATATATTTTATTGATTTTGTACAGAGAGGAATGGAGAGAGAGATAGAGAGTTAGAAACATCGATGAGAGAGAGTCATCGATCAGTTGCCTCCTGCACACCCCCCACTGGGGATATGCCCGCAACCAAGGTACATGCCCTTGACCAGAATCGAACCCGGGTCCCTTCAGTCCCCAAGCCGACGCTCTATCCGTTGATCTAAACCGGTCCCGGCTATACATAATTTTTAAATTTATTATATTTGTAAATTGTCCTTATGTTGAAATCTATAAAAAATATATATTACAATACTATTTTTGTGTTCTATGAAAATTTTTGTTGCTCCATATAGACCAAATTTTTAATCAAACACCCTCCCTCCTCCCCCTCCCCCCATCAATGGTGTCCCGCTTTATCAATGTTAAAATCTGGTCACCTTACCCTTAGTATAGTTTTTCCTGAATTTCAAAATTTGGACTTGAGCTATGTTCTATTTTAAAGGTGTAACCAAGCCTCCTCCCACCAAGCCCCTAATGAAAACATCTTAATCGTGGTTTTATTTCTGGAAATTTTAAATATTAAGTTTGTGTCCATATATTGGTCTAAAAATTTCCCCCCAAAAAAGGTTCTGCTTGCCCAGGAAGCTCGCCCCAGGTAAGGCTGCTCCCAGTGCCTGGTAGGGCCCTGGGCATCCCAGAGACAAAGGGGGTCAGGGCGTGTGGAGGGCCTAAGGGGACCCGGGTTTTCTGAAGGTGCCAGTGAGGGTAGGGAGCCCTGGCACACTGCTGAGCTCACTGGGGAGTGGAGCACTGCCTACTGGGCAGAGACACCTCCAAAATGTGCCCAGCCTCCTCCCAGTGGCAGTTAAAGGTACAAGAAGTGCTGAGCGGGAGGGATGGAAGGAGAGGAGCAAAGCAAAGCGAGGGAAGAGGAGGGCCAGGGAGATACTGACCTTGAGAATCAAAGTTCAAATCGGGGTGGGGGTAGAGTCTGGTTGTTGCTTCAACTCAGACGCTTAGTTTCATTCTGACCTGCCCTCATTTGGTGGATACTTTTAAAAAACCGTGTTTTGTGTTTTTTTTTCTCTTGATGTTGGCAGGGTTGCATGTGATTGGATGATTTTTATTTCTGTCCCTGGCTCCAACATCCCAAAGAGCCCACAGCATCCAGCCACAATGCCTTTTGGGCTTGAAAATGTCGAACTCCCAGGGCTGCTCACATTCTTAGATTTAATCTTCCCCCACCCAGGTCTCGGAGCTAATCCCATCTGCCCACAGCACACCACCCTTTTCCTCCTGGGCGGGACAGAAGGTGGAATCTCACCCTTTGCCCTCAAGGATGCACTCCACTGTCTCCCCTCCAGCTCGTCTCCTTTTAGGTCCTAAATTCACCCAGAGGTGAGTCCTTCCATCTCTCTTCTTTCCAAGGAAACCCCCCATCTTTTCCCTGGCCCTGGGTCATTCACAGGGTCCCTGCCCCGCCCTGCCCCTGCCTCTCATGGTCCTGGTGACCTGACCTCCCTCAGAGAAGCCTTGGGGCCTAGGACAGCCACAACCTCAGTTGCCTCCCTGAGGAGCTCATGATCTGCTATGTCACCTGCCCTAAAACTGAACCTGATGCCTGGACACATTTCCCTGTTTTCCTGGGGCTGCACCAGTGTCTTCTCGAGGATGTTTTCACTCTGTAATGTTCTGATAACTCTGATGTGGCCAAAGACCCCCGGAAACCATGCTCTCAGGTTTTGCTCTTTCCTATTTAACACCAGGAACCCATGGCACCTTCACTGTCTGACACGGAGGATGGGCCTATGGACTATTAGTCAACCTCAGTCCGTGTCTGTGGAAGGGATCAATGAGCCAGGCCTCCACCCTGCCCTTCCCTAACTTTCTCTCAATCCATTAATCTGAAAGGAGGCAATAATGGCCTTAGGTTTAAGGGTGGGAGACTGAGGGTCCTGATTGGATTCTAGTGTTTAAGAAGGTTTGTAAAAAACCTCAGGCACCAGAGGAGAGATTTAGAGGCTTCCAGCTCTGCAGTCAGTGCACTGGTCCTCTGCCAGGTCTGAGACCTGAGCCCCAGCCAAGCAGGTCCCAGCAGGTAAGTGACGGGCCTCCGTAAGGCAGTTGGTCTCACGTTGGCACAGACCTTTCCCTTCTTCTTCTGCTGTTTTAACAGCCTGATTGAAGGCATTGAGTTTGCCTCTTAGTGTAGTTCTTTCTGAATTTCAAAATCTGGATTTGTGCTTTGCTCTATTTTAAAGGTGTAACCAAGCTGATTCCCTGACACCGCCTCCTCCCTCCAAGCCCCTAATGAAAACATCTTAGCCGTGGTTTCATTTCTGGAAATTTTAAATACTAAGTTTGTGTCCATATATTGGTCTGAAATTTTTTTCCCCAAAGAAGGAGGGGGCCAGCTTTCAGGCCCTTCGTACCCACTCCCCAGGCAGAGTGGAATAAAAACGGGGGTGCTTCTGAGATACTTGTCCTGGGGCCTGCAGGGGAGCCATGGCTCTGGGGTTACCTCGTCCAGAGAGGGCCTCTGTAAACTGAGGCTCACCATTGCCAGGCGGGGGCTTTGGCCCTGAGTTGATTCCCGTGAAAATGGAGAGTCGGAGGATGGGGCTCAAAGGCTTGGCCTGAGGTGGATGCCTTGTTCCCTGGACATTTCCACAGGATTCCTTTGGAGCACCTTGAGAATGAGCATTAGGACCCCACCCACACTCCTGCAGCTGGCAGGAGAGAGCCTGCTGAGGGACCGGGCCTCGGCCATCACAGCTCTGGAGCACCTGCCCATCGAGCTCTTCCCGCAGCTGTTCACCCTGGCCTTCCGGAGCAGACACTACTCGTCCCTGACGGTGATCACGCAAGCCTGGCCCTTCACTGTCCTCCCTCTGGGGGGCCTGAATGAGCCACTTCCAGTCCAGGTCTTCAAAGCCGTGCTGGATGGGCTTGACGTTCTGCTTGCCCAGGAGGTTCGCCCCAGGTAAGGCTGCTCCCGGTGCCTGGTAGGGTCCTGGGCATCAGGGCGTGTGGAGGGCCTAAGGGGGACCCGGGTTTTCTGAAGGTGCCAGTGAAGGTAGGGAGCCCTGGCACACTGCTGAGCTCACTGGGGAGTGGAGCACTGCTTACTGGGCAGAGGCACCTCCAAAATGTGCCCAGCCTCCTCCCAGTGGCAGTTAAAGGTACATGAAGTGCTGAGCGGGAGGGATGGAAGGAGATGAGCAAAGCAAAGCAGAGGGAAGAGGAGGGCAAGGGAGACCCTGACCTTGAGAATCAAAGTTAAGGTCAGAGTTTGGGTAGAGTCTGGTTGTTGCCTCAACTCAGATGCTTAGTCTCATTCTGACCTGCTTTCATTCAGTGGATCTTTTTTAAAAGAAAACATTCCCCCCCCCCCTTGATTTCAGAGAGGAAGGTAGAGAGAGACATAGAAGCCTCAATGAGAGAGAATTTTTTGAATGGCAACCTTCTACACACACACACACACACACACACACACACACACACACACACAAATACCACACCCTAAGCATGGAGCATGCAAACCAGGCATGTATCCTGAACAGGGATTGAACTATGACCTCCTGGTCCACAGGTAGATGCTCAACCACTGAGACACACTATCCATACAGCCTGTCAGCCAATGCCCTGTGAACCCGAAAGACTCTCGACTAATGGCCTGCTTTCCCCACAGGAGGTGGAAACTGCGGGTGCTGGATTTAAGGTACCTGGGTTTCGACTTCTGGAAAATATGGTGTGGAGACAGCACCCAGAAGCACTTGCTAACTGGTCCAGTGACTGAGCACAGGTCCAGCCCCAGCATGGAGCACCCCTTAGCTCCAGTGGAGGTGTTCCTAGACCTTGACTTCAATAAAAGGGACACAGATGAGTTTGTCATGTCCGTCATCCAATGGGCCCGGCGGAGGAAAGGGCTGCTACACCTGTGCTGCAAGAAGCTGAAGATTGTTGCGGTGCCTTTCCGGAGGGTGAGGAAGGTCCTGGATGTGGTGCAACTGGACTGCATCCAGGAGGTGGAACTGAACTGCGCCTGGAGCCTGATCACCATGGAGACGTTTGCTCTTTATATGAGGAAGATGCCGAACCTCCAGAAACTCTTTCTCTCCCACATCCGTGTGTTGAGAGAGGGGGAGGACAATGAGGAAGAGGAGCAGGATTGGGAGGAGGACGAGGAGGACGAGGAGGAAGAGGAGGAAGAGGAGCAGGATTGGGAGAAGCACGATGAGGAAGAGGAGGAAGATGAGGAAGAGGAGGAAGATGAAGAGGAGGAAGGTGAGGAAGAGGAGGAAGAGGAGGAAGATGAGGAAGAGGAGGAAGAGATACTGAATTGGGAAGAGGAGTGGGAGAGGGAGGAGCAGGAGAGGGAGACAGCCTTTGCCCAACTCCTCTCTCAGATGCTCAGCTCACTGCACCTCCGTGAGCTAGACCTGGGTGCCCCCTACTTCCTCCGAGGCCGTCTGGACCAGATGCTCAGGTGAGCTGCTTAGCACTGTACATGGTATTAGAATGTAAAGGGAGCGGTGTTGTTAGATGCTTTGAGGGTGATATCCCATGAGCACCCAAAGGAAGCATGTTTTGAAATCAGCCTGTCAGAATGGGTAACAGTACTGGCTCAATGAGGGATCCAGTGAGCCTGGGTGCGTGAATTCTTCCTTAGGGACAGAAGTCTAAGTGATGAGGTGTTGGGAAGAGGGTTGGGAGGAGGCAAAGCCACATCAGATGGAGCATTTTCAGACATAAGCTCTGTGCCCACCAGCCACGTGAACACACGTGCGCCTCTCAGAATCCCCATCTGTCAGAGATGGTCCTGGGTACCAGGAAGGTCATTAGCAGAAAGGACAGGCATGATTCTGTAGCTAAGGAAGCGGGAGTGGAAAGAGTGACCAGTGGTTTGTGGTGATGTATGGATGGAAGTCGCCTCTGCACACTGGTCTTCCCAGTTGATGTTGCAGAATCTTCCTCTGGTTTACTCCCCCCTCCTTTTTTTTTTTTTTTTAAATCCTCAGAGGAGGATATTTTCCCCCCATTGATCTTTAGAGAGTGGAATGGAAGGGAAGAGAGCGAGAGAAATACATAGTGATAGAGAGATGATTGGTTGCCCTCAGCAACCCCTCTACCTGCCACCCCCATTCCCAGGAAATAACCTTTCTGTGTCTCCCCAGGTGCCTGCAGGCCCCCTTGGAAACACTCACCGTAACTCGTTGCCTGTGCCTTACCGATTCAGACCTGGAACACCTGTTCCAGTGCCCGAACCTCAGGCAGCTGAAGTCCCTGCATCTGAATTGTGCCAGCCTCACTGGTTTTATTCCTGAGCTCCTCCGAGCTCTGCTGGAGGCAGTGGCACCCACCCTCCAGAAACTGTACCTCGAGAAATGTGCCATCGTGGATTCCCAAGTCGAGGCCATCCTGCCTGTGCTGAGCCGCTGCCACCAGCTCAGCGAGCTCACCATCTTGGAGAACAGCCTCTCTGTGGCCACCGTGGGGAAGCTGCTGCGCCACACAGCGGGGCTGCGCAGCTTAGAATATGAGTGCTACCCCGTCCCCCTGGAGTGTTACACGACCCAGAACACTGTCAACCAGGAGACACTTGCCCTGGTCCGGGCTGAGCTGACGGGGATTCTGAGGGAGCTAGGACAGCCCAGGACCATCCAGCTTGCCACCGAGTACATGGTATGTTATCACGTTGAGTTTTAATGACCGGGAACCGGTGCTGTTCCCCTGTATGGATTCTGCTTCAGTTGCTGCAAACGGCAAAGGCTGGGCCTTTGGAAGCTGACACCTTGGATCAGGCTTTCAGGTTCATGCTCCGTGTGAATGGGGAAAGGGAGAGACACGGCCAGGGTAAAGGGCTGCAGGGGCAAAGGACAGGGAGTTCATGGGACTTCAAAGGCAAAGTGTCCTACAATCAGAAACATGAATCTCATTTGCGTGGGGAAGGGGCAGAATTGGGGCTTGAGTTTCCTGTGTGGGAGTGAATCCCGAGGTGGATGGTTGTAAAGGAATGATGAGAAATAAAGACAATTTCAAAGGCGACCTTCTAGTCCTCTTGCTTGTATTCACCTGTCTCTCCAGTTTACACCTCAGGACCCTGTAGTTACTGATGAATAAAAGTGGGGAGGGGTCAGGAACAGAACCTGGAGTGATGGGAGTGGTTGGGATGCAGTGCTCAGCCCATGTTATCACTCCTTCCAGGTCTTTTTTTTTCTTCTTCTGGGCCTGTCTGATCTCCTGTGGCTGCTCAGTGGGTGGATACAATGGGACTTGCTCAATGGCCCACCAACCCCTGAGGCGAAGGGGACCTGGCTGCTGGCTATGACCTTGCACTGGAGTGTTCCTCTTGGTTCTACAGGTGGACTCCCAAGTCTCAGAACATGTGCCAGGAGGAGTTCAGGGACAAGGCAGGACCCCCACTTCCGGAAGGGCTGTTCCATACCGCAGAGGAACCAGGCTGCCGGGCCTCCTAGCAGAGGAAATAAGCTGCTTTGGGCCAGCTAAACCATCCAACATCCTTTGACAAAAATACTAGGTTTTCAGGGGCATAACACTTTTTCTTGGTATTTCTATACCACATAAAATATGACTCGGGCAGAGCAGGGAGGTCATATCCATGGGGGATTGGCTTATGCCCATTAAACCTACTGTCTGTCTATGGAGCAAGACTGGAGAACGTGTTCTGAAATCAGCCTGTCAGGATGGGAAGCAGACACACTGCACAAATGAGGAAGCTTCTTCCCTGTAATCAATCGCTGTATTAGGCATTGTTCCCCGGAATAGCCAACAGGGTACACATGGACGCAGGTTGAAGATTTATAGGAACAGGCTCATAATGTTACAGAAAAACAAGAAAAAGCAATACCAGAGAGATGGAGTGATATTAAATAAGTGCAGGTCCAGAAGAAAATGTCTCTCAAATTCTGGGCCCCAACATGCAGGGATTCTCCCTATTTATATGATTTTACCTTCTTTGTCTCCCAAATATGGAGTGTTTCAGCCCCCTTTACAAGTTCTTAAAGAGCCCATATGTACTGGGGCCTTGAGACGTTAACCAGAGGCCTGGCCTGGCACCAGCACTGATAACCTTGTCTGTGGAAGGTTTAATTTTCAGAAGCCAAATAGCAGGGTGAAATTTCAAGAGGAAATTTAAAATACAAGTGTCTCTAGCCACCTGCATTTTTAATTAGGATGGAGCTGAGGTGACCTTTGTGCCTTGTGAATCAGTTGTAAACATTTACTGAATTTGCTCTGCTTTGCCTTTTCAATAAAAGATACCTACTTAAATTACTTAATAAATTACCTTTTTAATTATAATCAAGGTTTCATATAATTTCAGCTAAATGAAAAGGCAATGTTTTTATAAACAATGAAATTCTAATAAAGCCACCAGAAACAGCAAGTGAGATTTTTGTTTGTCTGCAATGTAATTTTGAGTGTCTATCTTTTTGGTTTGCTCTTCCCTTGTTTATTGTGAGAATAAACAAACCATCTTTTCTGTCAAGGAATAGTTTAGACAGCCACCATATTGGACTGTCTGACTTGGCAGACACCATATTGATCCCATGGCTTGCCGCTCCTCTTGGGGCTACCATCTTGGGACAGCAAAGGCCAACCCCTGATTAAGTCTTTTAAAAAAGTGACTGAGACCTCCCATGATCTCTCTGTATATGCAAATGAACCAAAGAGTGTAACTCTGAAAATATAATTCTAAATTTATTTATTTTTTTAAATCAGTCTTTATTGTGTTCATATTATTACAAAAGTTCCTCATTTTTCCCCCCTTCCACCAGGTTCTCACCCCACTCTCTGCCCTTCCCCCCTCCATTGTCCTCATCCATAGGTGCACAGTTTATGTTCAGTCTCTTCCCGCACCCACTTTAGCAATTAAATACTTTAATTGTTAAAGTATTAAATCTGACATAAAATAGTAGTCACCCTTAATTTTAATATTTTGCATAGAAATATGACTGCTTTGGACTCATTGCATGTTAACAAATTCACTATGAGATGAAATATCAATAAAAATATCAATAAAAAAGTCCCCTTTCCCACCAAAATTATCAGTCCACTCCCCTCCCGTATCTCTGATTCTATTATAATCAACAATTAATATTGTTCATCGGGTTTTTTAATTTCCTTGTTTTTTTTTTAATTAATAAACTTTTGTATTTTTAAAAATAAGATTTAAAATCTAATAATTTTAAACCTTGTTTTTTCTGCCCTGGGAACTGAGAAGCAAACTTGTTTACATGTAAACTTGCCCTTGGGCTATCAAAAGGCATAGCCATTCAAATGTAAATGAACACATTGTTTAAAAAATAGCTGCTGGCTGGAATTGGATTACCTGTTCTGGGTGGGAAGGGCATGTCCTCCCCTTTCTCCATTGAAATTAAGGTGTTAGCTTTAAAACCTCTTTTTGGCAAGAGACCTTAAACTTTCAGAACTTTAAAATTTTCAGGTAGCAAATAAATTACTTAGCATTTTCTCAAATCAATAATACCTCCACATTCCCAAGGATACACTTCACACAAAAGATACTTCCAAATAGATCAACCAACCTCATCCAGACCCCACACAAGGCTCTCACAGATCAACACCCCAGCGCTACAACGATTCAACACATCCAGCTCTAAGCCTTCATCACTTGATTCAGCAGACCCTTAAGCTCCCCCAAAAGTTTCCAGCCATGTCTGAGAAGCAGCCCTGGGGCATGGGCAGGCGAGGAATGAGCTGTTCCAGGCCTGGCTGCTCCAGGCCTGGCTACTCCGGGCCTGGATGCTGTTACTCCGGGCCTGACCTCTGTTGCTCAGGGCCTGGCTGCCGCTGCTCTGCACCCAGCTGCTCCAGGTCTGGCTGCTGCTGCTCCAGGCCTGGCTGCTCCCGACCTAGCTGCCGCTGCTCCAGGCCCAGCTGCTTCGGGCCTGGATGCTCCTGACCTGGCCGCTCCCGACCCGGCTGCTCTGGGTCCGGCTGCCACCGTTCCGCGCCCAGCTGCTCCGTGCCTGGCCTTTGCTGCTCTGAGTCCGGCTGCTCCGGGCCCAGCTGCTGCCACTCCGGGCCTGGCTGCTGCTGCTCTTGGCCCGGCTGCCACTGCCATAGGCCTGGCCACCGCCGCTCCAACATTGTCTATTTTTTTTTTTTATGCATTTATGTTGCAATGTTGGCTGGTGAGTTGAGTTCTGTCTTAATCTTCGATTTTTCAAGATTTTCTTTGTATTCTTTCTTAAGTAATTTTACTATCTTTTTGCTATAACTTGACTTCTTCACATTGAAAACTTCGTTGGTTTCTTCCTCCTCATCCTGGAAGCTCAGCAGTCTGGCCCATGGCTTGCCTTTGTTCTCCGCGGCCTCCTGTGCAGCTTCAGCCTGTTGCCGGGGTCGGCGCCGCCCAGGAAGCAGCCCCGGCCTCGGCTCCATGGCCCGAGATCAGCGGTTGCGGGCCCAGCGGCACCTCCCCACCCACCGGGGGCCCCTGTCGCCCGACTCCCTGTCGCTCCTGCTCCTCATCGCGCTCTTCCCAGTCTTATAATTCTAAATTTAATAGAAAGAAATGGGAAAAATTTGAAATCTCTTCCCTGAGTATTTGCAATGTAAACTGAAGATTGCTAAAGTATTAAATCTGACATAAAATAGTAGTCACCCTTATTGTAAAGTTCAAGCAACAGCCCTATAGGCTGCTTGCTCTAAAGGAAGACAAAGGTTCTTAAGTGAAACTCTCTGTAGCCTGAAAAGTGTTCTGGAAGAAAATAGAGAAAAGTTTTCTTCAAATATCTGAAGAACTGTAATTAGAAATGCATATATTTATCTCTTAAACTGAAGTGAGTAATTTGTATTTTAAAAAAAATATATTTTATTGATTTTTAACAGAGAGGAAGAGAGAGAGATAGAGAGCTAGAAACGTCGATGAGAGAGAAACATCGGCCAGCTGCCTCTTGCACATCCCCCTACTGGAGATGTGCCTGCAACCAATGTACATGCCCTTGACCGGAATCGAACCTGGGACCCTTCAGTCCGCAGACCGACGCTCTACCACTGAGCCAAACCGGCTTCGGCTGAAGTGAGTAATTTGGGTTTTTGCCTCCCTGACAAAGTTTATGTTAAGTTACTCAAAGACTAATTACAAAATTTTAGTTAATGTCACTTATTGTCCATAAACTAGGACAAATAAAGTTAAAACTTATAAGCCTTTTTCCAAATTATTTGAAATTGGCTAATTGAAATAAATAAATATTCAAGAGAATTTAATTATACTGAAAAAAAAACTGTTCCTAAAGTATTAACTAAAATTTTTATTGATATTTCATCTCATAGTGAATTTGTTAACATGCAATGAGTCCAAAGCAGCCATATTTCTATGCAAAATATTAAAATTAAAAGTTATCAAGACTGCATTGTAAAATTTCCAAAAGTGTCCTAATATTTAAATTAAGAAAGGGGGGGCTAGTAGAGTAACATCCTGTATGTAAATTACATGCAGAAATTTTTACTCCCAGAAACCAATCATTGTCTCACTAATAGAAAAATGTAAAAGGCTGGTTAACCTTGAAGCTCTGCAAGGTCAGACCCAACCACTCCCTATCTAATTGAGACAATGGTAACAGGCAACTTCCCCATCTTGTAATCATGTAAATCCTTACTGATATGATAATCTGCTTATTACCTGCCTAAGGGCTATGGGTGTCTTCCAAACCTGCTTAAGG